GTGTGCCAGTATGTCTGTGTGTGTGTGTGTGTCAGTATATCAGTCTGTGTGTGTCAGTGTATGTGCCTGTGTGTGTGTGTGTCAGTATTTCTCAGTGTATGTGGTGTCAGTATTTCTGTCAGTGTATGTGTGTCAGTATGTTGATCAGTGTATGTGTCTGTGTGTGTGTGTCAGTATGTGTTAGCATGTGTGTCTGTGTGTCAGTATGTCTGTATATGTGCCTGTGTCAGTATGTCTGTCAGTACGTCTACCAGTGTATGTGTCTGTGTGTGTGTCAATATATGTACCAGTGTGTCTGTCAGTGTATGTGCCTGTTTATCTGTATGTAGTCAGTGTATGTATCTGTGTATCTGCTTGTGCGTCAGAGTGTGTACCTGTGCATCTGAGCCGCAACTTTAAATACAAATACACCCCTCCATTCAAACTTCAACACTACATATAAAACACACTCCTGCATTGAAACGTCAACACTACATACAAGCACACTCCTACATTCAAAAACAAACACTACACATAAATGCACACTTGCATTCAAACTCCAGTACCACATACAAACACATTCACACAAACATACTCCATACAAACACATGCTTACATTCAAACATACTAACATGGCTCAGTGCTAAATACAACCCTGCAAGCATGGGAAATTGGTAGAGTCCCAGCTGTCAAAGCATTGTTGGAGTTGCACGACAGATGGGGTTCTACCTTTAGTCCAACCTTGCAATTGGGGGTCCCAATAAAATTCATTCTACTTTAGTACCGCCACTGCGTTGGGATGGATGCCGTGATTGCATACCAGGGAGTGAGGGGCGAGAGCGGCAGGGCACAGGGGGCCCAAGCAAACACTTGCCCAGGGTCCATTCGTTATTAAAGACGGCCCTGAGAGTACACAATAAAAAACATGATCACTTGTTTCTCAAAAAAAGTAATCTATGTACTAAAGTGTCCATGCAACCTACTTTATGTTGGAAGAACAAAACGTCTCTTACATATTAGGATAAATGAACATATACGAAATATTAAAAATGGACACGAGAAACATAGTGTCTCCGAACATTTTAAATTATTACATAGGAGTGATCCACAATTTTTTTGAATTTTTTGCAAAAGTTGAAATGATTGGCAAGACGAGATAAGAAAATTGGGGAAAAATTGAAACAAAATGGATTTTTGATCTAAATACCTTCACCCCACTCGGTCTTAATGCAAACTTTGAGCTATGCTATTTTTTATAATATTTATTTTTAAATAGTTTTTTATCATTGCCACTATAAAGTAGTGGTGTTTCAGTATGAATATAAACTACAGTTTCCTATTTATTTATTCTTCTACAAAATACTCTATGCCATAAAAGTTACAATGTCTTGGTTAGAAGTGAGGTACAGAGGGGGCGTGGTCTGCAGCCGGAGCAAGATGGACGTGTCCAAGTGAAGCTCGCTAGGACCATGAGGCCAATAGTAAACTAAAGCGAAAAAACACTGACCTGAACACGGTAACGCACGGGGGAGCCGACATGGATAAGCGGTCCTCAAAGAAGCAGCACAAGAAGCCAGCGGAACAGGGTGCCATGGTGTCCAATATGTTCGCGGCCTCCCGCACCATGCGATCGAGCGCTCAAGATGGTGGATGGGAGAGCCCGATGGCACCACACTCACCTCCTAGCCCAGGCATGGCAGCAGCCTCAGAGGTCTCAGAAGCTAACACTGCACAGATCCTGGCAAAATTAGCGGAGGTCCGCTGTTACTTAGCCGCAGAGATTACCAGGAATACCCACAAAGTTAAAGCAGAGATGCAGGCCTTGGGCGCGAGGACGGCAGTGCTCGAGCAGCGGGTGGAGTCCACAGCCATGGCCCACAATGCAGCTACAGCCCAGATCAACCGGCTGTCCTCCAGGCTAACTACTGTGGAGTCCGCCCTGGATGACATGCCGCTGATGGAGGTGGTAAAACCAAAATACTCAAGCCACTGCTCCCCGAAGTGCCGGATCACCAATGGCACATTGAGGGAGCGTTCAGAGCGAAACGGGCTGATGATAAACGCCCAAGAGACATTATCATCAAATTCCTGTTTTTCCAGACAAAGGAAGCCCTCATGAAGCACAGCAGGGAGGGCCCAATCAGGTATGGCGAGGCGGAACTTACCTTATTTCAAGACTTGACACCTGCTACCCTTCAAAAGCTGAGACTGTGGCGTCCGGTGATGGGACTCCTGCAGAAGCACGGGGTGAAGTACGCCTGGGGCTTTCCATTCCGGTTGCTGGCGTTCAAAGATGGATGCACTAAAATCCTTTACATGGATGGCGACCCTGTGGAGTTCCTGAGGAGTCTGGGTATCCAGGATCCGGTTGCGATGGCAGCATTTCCCCCGGCAGTGGAGGAGCTTCGCCCCCTCCCTTGCGAGTTGTTTGAGGCGGGAGAATGAGGCCCATAGAGGATGGCTGGCCCGGAACCCATCCGAGGCTAGTGAGGAGGCGATCCCGGTCGGTGTGGCTCCAGTGGCGGGTATGTAGGCTGATGTTGGGTTGGCTGGCCTTGGAGCCTGGTCCCACCGGGGGGCACCCCACAGGGTTCGCAGATCAGGAGCAGCCGCTGGAGCTGCACGGGAAGCTCTTGTGTCCTAGCGGGAGTCCGGGGGGGTCTTCACCCCATGTTGGGCGGGTTAGGGCTGTCTTGTTTTTTTGGGGTCAGCAAGGTTAGTGCGGATCCAGGTGGACGCTACATTTTGATGTCGGGGGCCTTGCATTTTCATGCTATTCATATCCTCAATTTATACGCTGCTAATGACCAATCCAGAGAATACTGGACGGAGCTGACTCACACAGTAAACATGCAACCACATGGAATGGTCATAGTGGGGGGGAGATTTTAATGCAGCTCCGTCCCCGGCAATGAATAGGGGCCCATGTAGGGGAGTGCCACGATCACACAGGCGTGGTGGACAAGACAAATTATTACACACATTCATACAGTCAGGCCTAATAGATAGCGACTACACGTTTTACTCGCCACCATACAATACATATTCAAGAATAGACCTTTTTCTGGTAAACCCCCTGACTGTTCCCAAGGTATCGAAATCCACAGTGGGATCCATAACTTGGTCGGATCACGCAGATGTGTCCCTTACTTTAGACAAGCTGAGTGCGGCGTCCCCCTGGTCATGGAGGCTAAATAGATCCTTACTTCAAGACCCAGCAATAGTTGCGACTATTCGTACGGAACTTAACGAGTATTTTGCCAGGGAGGCAGAGTCAGGGGTGTCGAAAGCCACGGTGTGGGCAGCGCATAAAATGGTCATTAGGGGTATACTGATTAGAGAAGCGACATTGAAGAAACGACGAAAGTCTCAACTGTTATTATTAGAAGCTTTAAGAAAGGCGGAACAACGGCATAAGTCGGACCCTACACCTACTAATTTAACGACGGTGCAGAATGTAAGGAACTCTATTCGTGAAACGCTCCTAGATAACACCACGAGAGCTATAGTGTGGTCAAAACAAACCTTTTATGAAAAGGCTAACAAGATGGATACCTTATTGGCAAGATCCCTTAGACCGAGGCAACTGGGCACACACATTACGAGGATTAAGAATGCAGTAGGAGAATATCAGATGAACCCCACAGAGATAGCCAAAGTGTTTACGGATTATTATACCAAACTCTATAACCACTCAACAGGCGGAGCCATGGACCCACGACAGGAATTGGATGGGATACGAGCGTTCCTCTCTCGGTTACACCTTCCCAAGTTAGACGAGGCGACCTCGGCTGCTTTGGGCAATCTGATCTTGGCTGAAGAAATAGATCCTGCAATTTCCGCCTTAGAAAGTAATAAAGCACCTGGCCCAGATGGCTTCGATGGAAGCTACTATAAAACTTTTCGAGAGGAGCTTCTGCCCCACTTAGAACCCTGGTTCAACGACCTTATGGACGGGGGGACGCGTGATAGAGACATGTCCTTGGCAAATACAGTTTTACTACCTAAGCCGGGCAAAGTCGACTCAATCCCGGAGAATTTTCGCCCAATTTCTTTAATCACGATTCCAAAATTTTAGCAAAAGTGTTAGCAGGCAGATTGAATCCAATCTTTACAGGTCTGATTCACCCAGATCAGGTGGGCTTTATACCGGGTAGACAACTGTTCGAAAATACGAGACGCAATATAGACCTTATAGGGAGACAGGCTACGAAGGGCACTCCGACACTGATACTGTCACTAGATGCCGAAAAGGCATTTGACAGAGTCAAATGGCCCTATCTATTTAAGGTATTAAATCAGTTCGGCATGCCGGCTCAGTTTGTAACGGCTATTCAGGACTTGTACTCAAACGTCAGGGCGCAGATCCA